TCCTATGTGTACTTTCTGTACAAATCAACCTGAAACTATAATCCATATGTTATATGATTGTGAACATGTAAGAAAGATTTTGTGAGAAACTGTACATTTGGATAAAATCCGTTGTGGAAGGAACCATTGATTTAAACAGTGAAAATGTTTTGTTTGGATTGACTGATCGATCAATGAAACCCTCCTTTTCAATCACTTATCCAGTTCAGTTTGCAAATCAGTGCAAGTGTTAAATATAAAGTCTTAGGTCGAAAGTGTACATCATGTTGAGCAAACATACTTTGTACTGCACGTGAGGTGAAGTGAAATGGGGTTTAACGTCGCGTCCAGAATATATTGCATTTAAAATAGCGACATGAATGCGCTCACGCGCGCGCGCGTGTGTGTGCCATACTTGTACTAGTCCGGACTGATGCCGATTTATAGTGCTAGCTCACTGAGATACCACAGTTTAACATGAATACCCCACTCAGACACAGTATACTGACTCCGAGCCCTTAAGTCCTTGTTTTAGCCCCTTAATGCCGAACGCCAGACAGGGTAACAACAAGTACCATCTTTTAACGTCTTTTGATGTGACGAGGCCGGGGATCTAACCCCGGACCTTCCGCTCTCCGGGCGGACGCTCCACCACTAGACCACGGAGGCGGTCTTGTACTGTACGGAGGAAACATACATTGCCAATGCAAGAGAATAACCAGTCTAGATTATCCGAGGGAACAGATTGCATGTGGCGTGAAAGACAAACTATTTGTCAAAATGATATATATATATAGTGGTGGTCACACCAGGTATTGACTGACATTTTGGGTATTGACCCGAAACTGTGTGAGCCCTTAACATTTGAAAAAACAACAATTATGTCATCTGCCTTTTAATCCATTAAACTGTCTTCAGTCAAATGTTTGTCAATCTCGCCCTATTAGTATTTCTTGTCTTTACTGTTGAAAATAAATAACATGTATACTGCATACTCGACTTGCGTTTCTTTTGCGTGTGAGTATATATGGTCCTTATGTGGACTGGCTACTTGCTGGGCGGTTTGTCTAGCTTGCAATCGTTCAAGGGCTTGGTGTCGCTGATTTTCTTGTCAATCATGGCATGTGGTAGCAATTCAATATATATATATATATAAAATGAATTATAAAGGAATCCTGAATTCTCTTGGATCTTGTCATTTGATAACCAAATTGTGTTTTCTATTTATTTTATAAAATGCTCATATACCACGTTTGGCGGTTTTGAGAAATACACTTGATTAATCTAAAGTCAGCTGACATGGTGATTAATTCGTATGGAGATTAAATCTGTCCGAAGAGACGTAAACTATTAACACGCACTGGAAGCCATGTCATTTAACACAGGGCGACTTCTAGCACTTCATCAACATTTGTTTGACAGATGACGCACAGAAGAGGAGAGATCATGAGATGCCCGCTATTCAAAGATCAAAATAGTGACATATGCATGACCTACGGATAAATCATTATCGGTGTGAATGGAGATGCTGTCACCTGCTGTTGTGGAGTATCTCTGGATCCTGAAATTAATTTCACTGAACACTTGAATTTCTTACAACAGGTGTGAATGATGGAGTCTATATACTTATCATTCTTATATACTTTTGATTGTTAATTCGATTCCCCAGTAGGGTACAATGTGTGAAGTCCATTTCTGGTGTCCCCCGCCGTGACATTGCTTGAATATTGCTAAAAGCGGCGAAAAACCATACTCACTCACTGCTGAAAATACTGTTGCCACCTACTACACAAAAAAGGCAAAGTTCCCCTGAGAAAGTCACACTTAGATCAAAGGGGAAGACCGAAGAGAAATTAATTTAACTTTCATCTTTTGGGATAAGACAAATTTAATTAATGTTATTAATGTGAATTTGCAAAATGCCTACAAATATATATATTTATACATTCAAGTATGCCTAAATTGATTTCATGAATTTCATTTTTCACAAGTATTCGACCTGAATTATAACATACGACAGCTCTCCCCTTTTAATTATGGCGCAGTTGGTGCAGAGCATCTTCAAACAGCATCTCTTTATGTGAATATATAACATATATATGACATATATTTATAATTGTATGAATAAATATTGCTTTACGCCGCATCCGCAATACTACAGCTATTTCCCATGGTTGTCAAGCAGATATTTTTCATTTTTGTTTGATACAGAAGGCAGACATCACAACAATTTAAAAAGGAGAGAAGTCATCTCGCGTCTTTCCAGGCCCTGAAAAGAAGAGTTAACTGTAGAAGAAATCTACCGAAACCACGCATCCCTACTATCAACGTTTTGATCAATTCTAAGACCTAAGACTGTCTATTCCTCGTCTGTACTGGATTTCAAAGCTCCATGCGCACCCATACTTAAAGATATATATTTCAAGGTCCCGCAAATATACAAATAAACCCTTGTCTCAAAAATGAACACAGTACTTAATACAATATAACGTAAACGCCAGATAATAACCAGTCTCGATTATCGAACTATTCTCAGGAAGTAATTGCGACAAGCGAATTAATACTCTGATGAGGATTCAAAGGATTTGCTCGACCGTTTGAAATCTCAAAAGGGAACCGAGCTCAATTCTGTCGAATTCCGTCTTACCACCTCATGGGGCATTTGTTCAAGACATGACAATGAAACAAAATGTCATCTGAAGTTCACTGAGAACACAATATGTGAAATGCTGGAATTCCTCAAAGATGGCATCTCTGTGAAATGATGTAAAGGCAAGTGGACATCCCTATTGTCACCAACTGTGCTCCCCTCCTTAATGGCTTCCTTACGCAAATGAACAGGAATTTCTGCTCGGAGTGTTTATGTGTTTAGCTTCAGTATATGGACGATCTGTTTATGTGTTTAGCTTCAGTATATGGACGATCTGTTTATGTGTTTAGCTTTAGTATATGGACGATCTGTTTATGTGTTTAGCTTTAGGTATATGGACGATCTGTTTATGTGTTTAGCTTTAGTATATGAACGATCTGTTTATGTCTTTAGCTTTAGGTATATAGACGATCTGTTTATGTGTTTAGGTTTAGGTATGTGGACGATCTGTTTATGTCTTTAGCTTTAGGTATATGGACGATCTGTTTATGTGTTCAGCTTCAGTATATGGACGATCTGTTCATGTGTTTAGCTTCAGTATATGGACGATCTGTTTATGTGTTTAGCTTCAGTATATGGACGATCTGTTTATGTGTTTAGCTTTAGGTATATGGACGATCTGTTTATGTGTTTAGCTTTAGGTATATGGACGATCTGTTTATGTGTTTAGCTTTAGGTATATGGACGATCTGATATCGTTTAATAATGGTCAAACAGGGATTTCCACTGATTTACCCACCTAAACTAGAAATTAGAAATCCAGTGAAAACAATTGGAAAGTTGAAGTCACCCTTCTTGCCAAACTTTCTTGTGTCTGGTCTTTTGTCACTCTGAATCTTTATGCACACACTTACTTATTAAACGATTGAGGCTGATTAACCAGTGGAAGGGCATTGGTTGTTGACAATTGTGGCATTAGTGTCCATAAAACTGCTTTTCTTTAGGGCAACTTCATAGGAGCTGGACACATGGATATTACCCAAGTTTATCTATTGTGATTGTTTGTTTGTTGTTTAACGCCGCACTCAGCTAAATATAAGCAATACTAACGGGATCGGGTGGTCAGGCCCGCTAACTTGGTTGATGCATGTCATCGTATCCCAATTGCGTGGATCGGTCCAGACACGCTTATTTACAGACTTTACTTTAACGGCGTTAAACAACAAACGAACGAACGAACGAATGATTCTACTAGAACTAAAAAATAACTTGGAAAATATATCTGTTGGGGGGTTTGCGCTGAAGGGATTTCATCATATATCCTCGTTGACAATCAGATGTGACGCATAATAAGTTCACCTTTTATAATTGGAACAAACAAAATGTTTGGGAACAAGCATGGTTTTTGAAATTCATTGTTCAAGTAGTTTCTGAAACTCGCCGGGGTGGTCGGGTAGCCCAGTGGTTAAAGCGTTCGCTCGTCAAGCCGAAGACCCGGGTTCGATTCCCGACGTGGGTACAATATGTGGAGCCCATTTCTGGTGTCCCCCGCTGTGATATTGATGGAATATTGCTAAAAGCGGCGTAAAACCTCACTCACTCACTCACTCACTCACTCACTCACTCACTCACTCACTCACTCACTCCGGCAGAGAAAGGAAAATCGACCATCAACATCAAACACCAGACAGGTTTTTGTTTGTTTGTTTGTTGTTTAACGCCGCACCCAGAAATGTTCCAACTATATGACGGCGATCCGTAAATAATCGAGTCTGGACCTGACAATCTAGTGATTCACATCATGAGCATCGATTCCCGACGTGTGAAGCCCATTTCTGGTGTCCCCCGCTGTGATATTGGTGGAATATTTTTAAAAGCGGCGTAAAACCATACTCACTCACTCTGAAACTCGCCGTTCACAAGCAGTCTGTCGGGCGGGTGAACGAAACAGCAGTTATACATATAATATAGCTCTGTGCGCATTTTAATACTTACAGAAATATTATTTCTTAAAATCAAGATTTAGAGTATATAAGTTTTCACTTTTTACTTGTGGTCAAATAATCCTGACACGTTTTAATATCCTATTTATCATTCATCATAGAAAATATATTAATATTGATAATATTATTTATATCAAAACCAAAATCATTAACGTTCATGTAACTCATGGCAGACACAGATGTGCTGAGTTGGATTTCTTGAAAGTGCCACTCCCACCATGGACTATTCCAATATACTTTTGACAGGTAGTTTTGCTTTGCACATAATCCACATCTACAATATAAACACCTAGCAGCCACTTCATATAGCAAGCGCTTCACACCACGCCATACCCATAACCCCTGCAATCAAGTCGACCACGCCAATTTTTCATATTCTTGACATACCTCTGGGATTTAATCTATATCACCTTGTATAAATACAGCGAACGTTATTTCTTCCATAATCAACCCTGTTGAGAAGCTGGGAAGAGACACTCTCACCATGGACTTCAAGATGCCCCTCCTACTGCTTCTTGTGTGTAAGTACTAGGGCCTGTTCTTGGGAACAGATAGATAGGATCAAAAATGTAATTTTTATCCCGTACGTGATCAGTCCATGGAGAAATTAACATGTTTTACTCTACTCATTATCACAATACTATATTTTAATCCGAAAACCCGAAACTGTGGCTTCCAGAAACCAGAGACCATATATGGTCGTGCAGTGTACTCTTCTAAGGGACTTCTTAAGAGTATGGGGCGGTCGGGTAGCCTAGTGGTTAAAGCGTTCGCTCGTCACGCCGAAGACCCGGGTTCGATTCCCGACATGGGTACAATGTGTGAAACCCATTTCTGGTGTCCCCCGCCGTGATATTGCTGGAATATTGCTAAAAGCGGCGTAAAACCATACTCAGTCAGTCAGTCAGTCAGTCTTAAGAGTATGGAAAGGGTTTTGTCACTTATACGTGCAGGTTTGATGTGTATGCCTTAACGTAATGAATAGTTAGCTCTCGTATCTATATCTATATCTATATAATTAAATTTTCGTTGTGTTCATGGAAATTCCTGCATTCTGATTAGCTGAATTGGTCACGTGTTATTGCATTCATTTCCCAATGAATGTAAAAAATTAAGCCACGCCCACCGCGGCGCACTACTTTTATTACTGCGGAATGTCGGGGAATCCCAATATAACAGTCGAGGGAATTCCCTTTCTGTAGACGTGTATCGTCATGCACAGGACATTTAGCGACTTTCATGCATATTCATTTTCCAAACAACCGTTTGAAACCGAAAACGAATGAAACAGCAAACGTGCAGGCTCTCTCGCCTGTTTTTTCCCCGCTCGTCTCGGTTCAACTTTCATGTCTTCGGGTTTCATGTCTAACTAGCATTTCTCTAACTGAGTTTTACCGTAATCAGGGAAGTAATGTTTGAATCACGCAGTAAATGACCATGTTATTTGAAACAGCCGCTTTCTCTCGGTCGACATATTTCTTCCGGTTCGTTACAGTCTGACTGTTGCAGTTCTTTTTGCCTCTTGCCTTAATTGACAGGTCTAATGAACATTGTTTTAATCCCACTCTCCGTTGATTGGCTACTGACTGTGTAGGCGTGTCAAGTTATGTGCATAAATTAAACGATCACCTGATTCATGTCACGCCACTGTATATATTCCTACACCTGGAATGTTTATCAATGTCGTCATTTTTGTCTGTTTTGATATATGCAACTGTTTTGGGTTAAACTATTGTAGATAAAACATGTTTAACGTTGTCGAATTTAATTATAAGCATTGACTGTGTTTATTTTTTTCGGTTCATTGAGGTATGAATCGAAAAACCGATGTGCAAACTTTTGTAAGAATCCGCTACGCGGATTCATACAGTTTTCACATCGGTTTTTCGATTCATACCTCAATGAACCGAAAAAAATAAACACAGTCAATCCTTAAATAGTTAATCATGGACTCATTATCAACAGTATAATAAATATTTACATATATTATCAATATATGAAACAAAATGCAAAACTTACTTTTGCGATAATGTATAAACAATGGTTCGTCCTCCCCCAGAGTTTGAAATGGTCAGTTCCTAAGGCACTGCAGTTAGCCTTAGTGTGCCAGAATCCAAGACTCCTGGGAGGTTGGAATCCAAAATTGGTCATAATTGTGAATTTGGGTTTATCAGCTCCTGAACGCTCGCAATAATGTTAAAGCCTCATATATGTACGCTGTACCCGTCCTTTCATATTCTTTTGGAGTTGTGGTTTGGACGAAACAAGGAAATCAGGGTATTGACACCCTCACACGAAGAATCATGTCAGACAATGGATGCCACCAACCTCGCTCTTCCCTCAATCGTTTATATTTACCAACTATAGTGGAAGGGCGAGGTTTGGTTAACGTGGAGACTCTTCATAATGGAATTGTATTGTGTACTTTTGCACACATATACTTGTCTGATGACCCGCTTGTGAAGCAATGTCAAGACTCATGATGAAAACAAGGCATTCCACAGTTTTAAACGAGCCAAGGATGTGAGACATAGTCTCAATGTCAAGGTTGATTTTGTTGATTGTTCTGTACTGCTAGACAGATATGAAGATCCGGGGTAAAATAGGTTCACAGCAACCCATGCCTGCCGTAAAAGGCGACTATGCTTGTGCTTATCGGGTGGTCAGGATCACTGACTCGGTTGATGCATGTCATCGTATTCCAATTGCGGCGATCGATGCTCATGATGTCAGTCACTGGATTATCTGGTCCAGACACGATTATTTACAGACCGTCGTCATATAGCTGCAATATTGCTGTTGCATTAAACAACAAACAAACAAGATATGAGTGTCAACCAAGCGAAGTGCCATATCAAATCGGCCCAGACGTTTTAGGCAGAGGCTACCACTGCATCGATCTTATATGCAACCCCGCAGAGTCCTTTGCTTGGATGAAGTCGGCATTCTTTGGAATAGGCCCGTATACAGCCTCAGACCTATCCGCTCAGCAAACCTGATCTTGTCCTTTTTTCATAAACTCAATTAAATCATATAGATGTATATATATAAAGCGGCAAAACCCTTTCCATATCCAATAGAAATCTCTGCATAAAACAGAGTCGATTGTACAAGTCCAACTATATCATGAGCATGTGTTTAAGTATCACTATCAAATTCTATATCATTGAATTCTCTGTCGTTTTTTACACATCTTGTGATTGACAAGATTCAGGAAATAAACATGGCAAATATGCGGACCTCGCTTACGAAATGTCACGCTTGCATCCCAAGTACCAAGTTGTCCGACTCCCCATTGTTCTCGGTGCCTTAGGTTTGGTACCTCCCAATCTGTTGACTGGCATTGGGAGAGTATCCGGGTCTGCTACCAGGAATACAGCCATTCTGGCAATCTAGGTAATGCAGAAGGGCTGCAGTTTGGGGGAGTCTTCATATTCTCCGAAAAGTTCTCTGTGGGTTTGACGAGACAGCGCTTCTTGAGAGAAGTCCAATTCGCTGTCTGGGCTGCGTGTAGTGGGAGAGGGCAAGGCCCCTGAGCTAATGATGAGCCTAACCAGACTGACTATGCCAGGATCACCCAAACCCACTTTGATGCATTTTTTAAATTTTAATCTGTATATGATAATAATAATTTCATCTATGGTAGCAACAAAAGGTTATCGCAGAAGCAATTATTTCTTTGTTGTTGCACCTATATGACGAAGGCTGGTAAATAATCGAGTCTGGGCCTGGCAATACAGCGATGTTGCGCACAGTCGGGGTACGTGGATACACTACCAACCACGCCCCGATACCGGCCACCCGGTAGGTTCCTGGGGACCAATTCTGACCCGGAACCATCGGGGCCACTTGTACATTACTAGTAGACATGTTGGTGATGTTTTATATTCCAATTGCAGGTGCAGGAATGGCTGCTGCTGCTCCTCGGCAAGAAAGACAAGGTATGCTTGTACATTATGTAGTTAGTGGAAGTGTTAACGTAATAAGGAATATCTATCTGTCTGTCTGTCTGTCTGTCTATCTATCTGATATTTGATGTGAAAGACTCGGGTGTACTTTAATGTAATAAAGACTATCTATCATCTATCTATCTATCTCGGAGAGTGGAAGGTTCGATGCCAAGCCGCGTCATACCAATAGACGTTAAAAGATGGTATACTCGGACCCCGTGGTACGGCATTCGTCGTATCGCGGCATTTGTGATTTCCGGTAGTTCACGCGGGACACGCCTCTTAGTGGCTGTCTATTGATGCAAATCAGTAACCAGGAAGTGCTCACTTCGTAAACAATTTCAATTTCCTCGGAATGTTCCGTCTGCTGTAAGTAAGGAGTTATTAATGTGTTGATACTTACTTCTGGCATCTTTTTTCATATTGCCTTACCCCCATCTATCAATGGCCAACGATATAACCCGCAGTTCCCCAAGTAAACTTTCTCTATCGACCAGAACTAGATCGTCTGCATATTCATGGCGACTAATACGGTAACGGAAGTTACGTAGTCCGCACATTTCTGATATTTTGTTGTTGATTTTTAAAATATTTTTCTCTTACTTTTCGGTAAATATGCATT